TCCCCCTCCCACATGGCCTCCCCCTCCCACATGGTCTCCCCCTCCCACATGGCCTCTCCTCCTCCCACATGGCATCTCCCCCTCTTTTTGTTTCACACATCCCAGGTGGCTCCCTTCATCCCACCACTGGAAACAGAGCTGGGATGCAAGCTCCAGCCTCCATCCAGAGTTCTTGCTGGTCATAACACCTTGCTATGGGGCCATCATCTATTCCCTGTGCCTGCTGTTCCCACCCCATACCCCCAAACATGACCACCACTGGATGAGCCTCTTGTTTTTCAGTTTATTCTCTGGACTTACTTTGAGTCCTATGGGTGGGAGAGAGAGTGGCTAAACTGAATACTCTACAGACAATCTACAGGCTTTTTGTTTGAAGTGGTCATAAAAAAAAAAGAGAGAACTTGAACTTCCCTACAGTGAAGAGAACTTGAGTCACGTGTTCCTGGTGGCACACGGAGCCCTTTGCCTGGGAAGCCCACTCAGCCAAGGGATTGGCACAAGGCAGAGCCATCCCTGCAGCCCTATGTGGCAGTGCTGTATCTTTAGTTGGAGACTCTGTGGGGGACGTTGGGCTCTGTGGCAAGCAGTCTCTGGTCACTGAAGGTGGCGTCCCCAAAGGCGTCCTACCTTTTAGCGTGTGCAAGCTCAGGGTTTGGGGCGCCCTCTAGTGCTGGAAGAACTTCCCCCAGCAGCCTCCCCAAAGTGGACCCAACAGAACTGGACATGGAGTATGTGCCAGGACCCCTTCTCAGCACAGCTCTGGGCACCACTGCATGGCGTGTCCAGGGTTTCCTCTCATTCCTGTCAGCACGAGCCCCGTGTACAAGTTCTTTTCCCTTCTTGCTGCGGAACCAGGTAGCTCCAAGGTCCTTTGGCTGCGGTGTTGCAAGTTCCCAGTGGGAAGGCGGCCACAGTGAGCCATGCCTGGTGAGATCACTGTGCTTTAGGTCCTGTACCCTGGTCCGTGCACATCACGTGACATTCAGATAGCCCCACGAGGCGAAAGTTCTGTCCTCATTTTACAGATGGGGAAATTGAGGCTTAGCGACACTAAGTGACATGCCTGGGCCACCCCAGCCTGCAGGCCGAGTGAGCCTCACCCACACGGCAGAGTCACAGGCTCCTAGGCACACTGGTATTTCTCAGAGTCTATGTGTCCTATGCCTTTTCCCTTAGGTATGGGGTCTGATAATTTTTCAAGCTGTAACTTTGATTTTAAGTCATGCATGAAGTGTCTCAGAGGTTTGAGGCTTCATTAACTTAACTTCCTCACCTCTGTCATTCAGCTGCCAAGGCAGGTTGGGGCTGGAAATTCCCCATCTCCCCCAGGATGGAGCCCTAGGCACTGTCTGTTCTGGTTTATAGGGATTTCTGCTTTCTCCCTTGAGGTGGGCAAGAGCACCATGTTCCCGGCTGGTCAGACCATGAGGAGGATAAACCTGAGGTCTTAACAGGTGTAGGCCAGGAGGCAGAGCCGCCTGCAGGTTAAGGAGAAGGCCGTCTGTTTCGAGTCTTTGCCACTGCCTTCTTCCTGTCCTCCCCTTTGCCTCTAAGAAGCTCCTTTAGAGAGTGGGACAGCGTGGCCAGTGGGCCTCCAGGATATGGTGCTAACCAGCTTGTGGTGGGCCCTTCTTGGGGCAAGTGTCTCCAGACTGCTCGGTGGCCACCTGTGTGGCAGCTTAAGGCTATTTCTTGGGCAGGGAGCTGTGGAGGGTCAGCCTGGTGAGAGGGATAATGATGGTAGGCCCCAGTGCAGGGTGGAGGTCAGAGTGTCCAAAGTGTGCTGGAGTGACCCATCTGCTTGTCTGTCTTTCTGCAGGTGGACAGCCCCATCAGCTCGGGAAGCCCCTCCAAAGGGCTCTTCTCCAGAGGCCCCCAGGCCCGGCCCTCCAGCCCTGTGTCTGCTCCTGTGAGGCCCAAGACCAGCCCTGGCTCTCCCAAAACTGTGTTCCCATTCTCCTACCAGGAGTCTCCGCCGCGCTCTCCGCGCCGCATGAGCTTTAGCGGGATCTTCCGCTCCTCCTCCAAAGAGTCTTCACCCAACTCCAACCCCTCTACCTCTCCCGGCGGCATCAGGTTTTTCTCTCGCTCCAGAAAAAGTAAGACATTGATGCTATTGTTTCAGGTGGGTGCCACTCGGCTGCCGGGTGGCTGCGGGTGACATGGTGCTGAGTGCCCAGGTCTGTTTCTGCCCCTTCTCCTCTCAAAAAATCATCTTCCAGAACAGTGTCAGTTTCCACCCATCACTGTCTTCCCAACCGATCCATCAGAGCCTAACCCTTCTGCTGCAGCCTGGTCCGTGGGGTTAACTGTGAACATCCTGATGCCCACAGTATGATTTGTCAGGAAACCAAGTGATACTTTTGCCTCCAGCCTTCTCTGCAAACCTGTAGCAATGGAGCTATGGATAGGCCCATCCCAGGGGCAGAGGATCAGACTGCTTGGTCTCCGGGTTCCTCCCCACTCACTGTGGTTTGGCATTTGAAGGCTTGACTTGGCCTGCTTCTGGTGCAGTCAAACCTAAATCTCAGCTTTTTCTGTTTTGGGCTCTGGGCAATAGGAAATGGAAGCCAGGTTGGGTTTGCTGGAGAAATGGGGGAAATGAATGTGTGTGTCTAAGAGAGAGTCTCTTAGGCTTGTGTTTGTGATCTGAGGACAAGCGTTCCTCAGGTGAGCGCCGCTGATCATAACGTGAAACACAAGGCAAACTGTAGAGCGGGTGAATTTATTTTTCTTTCCCTGCCTCTCTGCTCTCAGTTCTTCCTACTGACTTGGAGCATTTGCATTAAGGAAGACAGTGATTTGGGAACCAGACGAGCCCTTGAGCATCAGAGGTCGGGGTAGTGAGGGTTTCTTTCTCCAGGTCGTATCTGCTCTCAGAGGCCTGCAGGCAGAGAGAGCAGCGTTTGATCTGTGAGGCCAGGTGGGCAGAGTGAAGCTCAGTCTTCCTGAGTATAAGAAAGGAAGGGGAGGGATTCTCTTCATTTCTTTACTTTTGTGTGTATGGGGGTATTGTTTCTAGTCCCCCTAAAACCATGACTGCTCCTCGGCCTACATGGGCCCTTAACTGCAAATACACAGTGGCACGTGACCAAGGCTTTGCAGCTGTGACTAAGTGGTCCTCTCACAGACGTTTCCATTACTGGGGAAAGTCAGTGAGGACCAAATCCATAAAGCCCAGGAGGGAGCAGAACGCTCTAGCACTGGTGTCATAGTGTTCTAGGGAACGTCCCAGGTTTCTTGATAGCATCCTGAAATTCTCAAAGTTTTCGTCATGTACTGGCTAAGTGGAGGGGGTGGCAGTGCAGACCCATGTGGGGGTGGCTCATTGCCAACAGGTGGCGTCATGCCCGTGCTGGTTGTATTCAATTCCTATCTCAAACCGAGTGGCTTAAAACAATGGAAGTTTATTCTCTCACACTTCTGTAGGCCAAAGGTGCAAGAGCAAGGCATGGGCAGGACCGCGTCCGACTGAACTCTAGGGAGGACCTGCTCCAGGCCCCTCTCCCAACTCTGGGCGCCAGCAGCATCCCTGGTGTTCCCCAGCTTGTAGACGTGTCACTCAAATCTCTGCCTCCACCGTCACACGTGTTCTCCCTTGTGTGTCTCTTCTTGCTAGGAGGTTGTGTAAGGACCTTCAGACTCCAGTGCGACCTCATCTTAACTTAATTACATTCGCAACAATCCTACTTCCAAAAATGGTCATATTCTAAGGTTCTGGGAAAACCATTAATTTGAGGGGACACTATGCAACCCAATACTTAGGTTGTGCAGGAAGGTCAAGGTTTACAACTCAGACCACCAGGCCAGATGTGGAGGACTTGTGGTATGGCTGGTCAGCCTGTTGGGATCAAAGACATCTCCAGAAGCAGAAAGGAAGATGCAGGAGGTCTGGGAGAGCTGCGGGTGGGTGCCCGGGAGCAGGACAAGCCAGGCAGTCTGATTCTAGCACCCCTCCCTCCCCAGGGAGGCACTGGGCTCGAGGGGGCTGTCATAAGCAGCCAAAAATTATCCCTACAGACCCGTTCCTGACCACAGTGGTGGCAGAGGTTCTGGGACCCTCAGGAATTTAATAACTGAGCAGCTGGGATCTGCTGTTGATTTGGAAACCAGAGATGCCCAGGCAGGGGCTCCAGCCACTCTACTGGACCAGCCTTGGACATTGTGCCCACATTTGAGAGTTTGAGCACAAGAAACTCCCACTAGGCCAAACAGTCCCCAGGAGTGGTCAACAGTCCCCACCCTGCTGAGCTGTCTCCCTCTCTGCGCCTGTGCCCACAGGACCAAATTAACCACTCAATTAATTCTGATATTGCCATGTGGCTTTGTAATCTGTGGATACCCTCAGGGAGGCTCACCGTGGACTCAGACATGTTTCCTCCAGGAAGTCCAGCAGAGTGCAAGTGGGTCTCCCACTCCTGAGCTCCTGAGCCTGCTTGGGACAGGAAGCCAGGTCTGTGCCTCTGTTCTTCCTCCAGGAGGGCTGGTGTGTTATAGTCCCTGAGTGGACAGAGAAGGTTTGTTACTCAGGGAGATTCTGTGTTTCTTTTTTGTATAGAAAGCAATCAAGGATGCTTATGCTAGGCAGGGCGGCACTGAAGCTAACCATTCACTAGACACTCTATGAGGCTGCAGGATGTCACACTTTCCGGTTAGTGCTTTAACCTTAAGATGAGCCTTTCTTCTCCTCATCCCCCATGTAAGTGCCGTCTAGAGACTAGGGCTCCGAGCACGTGTACAGGGAAAGGAAATCAGGCGTGCCTCTATGCAGAGAGGCACGAGGCTTCTGTCTGTGGGGATGAGGACATGTCCCACCGCTTGCCTGGTTGGAAAATTGTGACATTGGGAAAATCAAATGTGCTGGACTTGGTGTTTAAAAGGTGGGATTTCTACCTTCCAGAGCCCCCAGTAAGGGGCAAACAGAGGCTTTGGAGAGGATTGAGGGCGTTGCAGTGATGAGGACTGAACCTAGTTAGGATGGGGCAGCCTTTCTGAGTGAGGATGGGATGGGTGTCTGAAGCAGGCACAGGAGGAGCTTGTGAGCTGGCTCCAGATGGGAGAGGCTGAGTCGTGGTAGGAGCCATCTTCCTCCTGTAAGCAGGGTGCAGAGTCCAGGTTAGGAGAGAGAGGGGAGGAGAAGAAGGGAGGGGAGGAGGGCAGAAGAGGGGAGGAGAGAAGAGGAGGAAAGGGGAGGGAGGAGGGCCCTTGCAAGCTGGGAGATGGGAGAGACCCTGCCCACGGCCCAGGGCAGCCTGGAGCAGGCTTCATTCACCATCTTCCTCTGTGTTTGGGGCTGCCTGCTCTGGACAGGAGCTATTCCTTTAGAAACTGAGCCCCAGAAAGATCTCTGAAATCATGTCAGCTTCCTGAAGTACTTCTTTTCATTGTCTTAGATGTTACTTATGATTTTTAGATGTTCACTGTTTTTCAGCTGTTATCTTTCAGTCCCTGACAGCCTTGCAGACTGACAGACAATTGGAGCTGGAAGGGTCTAGAGGGAACCACTTACAGGGAGGGAAGCAGGTGCCTGTAACTGAACACGTATGTATCCTGCATGCGTATGTGTGTGTCTGTGCGTGTGTGTGCAAGCATGTATGATGTGGGCACTCACACACACCCCTCTCCCTCTTTTATTTTTACAAAAGGACATTTGTCAGACTGCAGCGGCCTCTGAGTGCAGGATTAGGGCTGGATAAGTGGGCTGAAGAGAAACTTTCTTTCATCTGAGACATTCCAACTTTCTGAGGCAGTATTCATTTATTGGTAACTAAAAATGAATTTGTCTTGAAAACATGTTAAGCACCCAGCCCTGAGCTTTGGGGTAGCTGCGTGATACAGAGCAGAGGTAGTTGCTGCTTGAACAGAAGGGAGAAGTCAGAGCCACCAAGAACACCCGGAGCAGCTCCTAGCACCAGGCTCAGGGCTGGCTGGTGGTGGGGAGTGGTGGTCAGGGAGAAGGAGCCGAATGTAGAGGTTCAGGGCAGGACAGGATGCAGGTCTGAGGCTGACAGCACTCCTGAAACCCTGGAGGCCGAGCAGAAGGGAGTGTGGTGATGAGGGAGCTCAGTCTCAGACCTGGCTGGCTTTGCCTACATCTACCTGGGCTGCTGCAGCTGGACCGGCTAGACCTTGGTGCCTGAAGCTCCCAAAGGCCTCGTTGCTCTATACACTATCCTCCCAGCCCATGTCCCAGATGCATATATGTCCCCAGCCACCAGAAACCTAACGCTGCTGCCCCTTCAGTGAAGGACTGCACAGACCTCTCCCTAAACCTTGGGTGTGGTCCTGGAGCTCAGTGAGCTGGGGGCCTCTTTTTCCTAAGGCAGAAATGCAGGCAGCTGGGATGCAGGGATGCTGAGAGCATCACTGCATCTTCTTTGCAGAGACAAGAAACCCTTTGCTGATAGTAACGGTATAAATTTTCCTTTTTGTATACCAAAAATGTAAAGTAGAAATAGTGATTTTAGCTTGAAGAAAAATATAAGGAATGACATAGCTGGAATGAAGATCAGGAAAAGAAATCATGAGTGTGATCAGATTATTTTCTCTTCTTTTACAGTAGTAGAAATCAGATCTTAGAGCCTGCGGTAAGGAACAGAGGACAGCAGGTATTTTTGTGAACCACCTATTGGGCAGGTGATTTGATCATGCCTTGGCTCAATTTTCACAATAGTAAACGCATGGATTGGTGGCCCACAGTACTGCTCAAATCTTATGCTAAGGAGCCTGTGGTTGCATTAGAAAATGGTCCACACAAGACATGCACCCAGGGTTGAAACGGTCCCCTCAGTTCTGCAGTGCTTAGTGGAGAGCCCTTCCCATGCTGACAGACACCCCTACAGCTTGAGATCAATGTCTTGAAACCCAACTTGTCTCCAACACTCATGCTGTTCATGAGTCACTCCACAAACTCCCCAGAAATCCTGAGTACCCTTACTCTTCCCAGCATACCCCAACTTGGCCGCCATGGTCACAGCAGTGGCTGTGCACACTCTGGGGCCAGCAGGAGAGGTGCCCACCTTGTAGGATGGGGGTACAATCTTGGCCACATCAGCCCAGCATCCCCAGGTGTTATAGTGGTCTGACCTGTTTGCCACAA